GGCTAGCACCTCTCTAAAGAGTTCTTTTGTTACTTATCAGAATAAGAGATTACATCTCAATTGTCTACACCGTAAACTCCATAATAGAGTGGTGTGGTAGAAAGAAAAAATAAGTCTCTTTTGGACATAGATAGACTAATGAAGTGTTATTCAGATTTGCCTTATTCGTTTTTGGAATATTTCCTAGAAACTACAAATTACATTATGAATTTAGTTCCTTCTAAGTTAGTACATGTGACATCTATAGAACTGTGGACTGAATGTAAAATCAGTCTGCGGCATGTTCATATATAGGATTGTCCAGCATATGTGCTGAAAGGGAAAACAGATATGTAAGTTGGAACTAAGAATGGATAGGTGCATGTTTATTGAATATTCAAGAAAACGAATGAAGGTTTATTTTATTGTCCTAAAGAAAATAAGGTAATTGTTAAAACAAATACAGTTTTCTAGATAAGGACTGCTTAATAAACCATGTTCTTAGAAGTAAACTAGTTTTATAGGAATCAGGCAAAGAAATAACTAGATGTTCAAGAACATCAAAACCCAAATGTTGGAATTGACGTTCCATTACATTTAAGTAGTGGAAAAACGTTAATAGGGATAGTATGCCTTTATTTAGTGAGAGTGATATTTGAACAATGAACACTATAGTAAGAAGTCGCTAATATTTCAATACTGTAAGGTAATAAAGGTAATATTAGTAGTACTTCGTCGTAGTGGGAGAATACTAAGGAAAATTTTAGTTCTGTGTACACTCTTGGGATAGTTTCGGTAACAGGATCCCTGAAGAGTTTAATACCAAACTAGATAGTTACGATAAAGCACTACTGGACAAAGATTGCATCAGAAATAACTTGGCAAGATTCTTTAACAAAACCTTATTTGGTGAAGACTTTTAATAGTCATGTAAAAAGAATGCCTGAGAAAGTTGTAGATGCATGGTTATGAGTCTAAGTGGGAGATTATTGGGGCATATACTATTAGCTATGCATTTGGATATAGTATATTCTAATAATTGTCATGGTTAAAAGTCTAAGTGGAAGATTGTTGGGATATATACTACTCCATTAACCATGAGCTTGGTTTAGATATAGTATTTATTATGAAATAATTATTTATTCAGTTTTAATAAAATTTTAAATAGATCATATATTAGTATGTGTCCTTTGCTTATATAGTAGATAATTTAGTATATAGAGTTTAGCTTATACACGGAAGATTAAATCATCGGTACTTATAAGTATAAAGTTTGAGTTCACAATCTAATGATGGAATTGGACAAACCATCATGGATGATTGTAGCACAAGATTAAATATAATTTATCTTGATTATGGGAATGATTTAATTCCAACTTCTTGTGCTAGTACATTTTGTATGTATTGAACGAACCAAGTAGAGATAAGTATTTTATACTCACTTAATAAAATAAACTCTCTAACCATTAAATATACTTATACTCTTAATCTTGATATAATTATTAATTGTGTATATTATTATTATTTTAATTTATTGAAAGGCGAAATTCTTTTGTGGGCCAATATGCCAGATAAATTAGATAATAATAATGTATATTGGCGAAATAATAGTTAGTTGATGGAATCTATGTCTCGATTTAGAGATTGATCATATACCTTTATGAAAGTTTATAAGTTTTTATGTGTAATCTAGGCCGATGGATTTTGTATCCGACGCATGAAATAAGTTAAGCGAAAGTCTAAAGAAAATAATCAATAAAGTAAATCGTTAGTAGTTTAATTTAATTGATTAGTATCTGAATCTTAACATGGGGAGTTAAATAAGATTTAATGGGTAAATTTTAAAATTGAATAAAGAGTGCAATTACGAATTTTTAGTGGAAAAATTCGTAATTAATTATGGTGGATGTTACTTTCGAAAATTATAAATTAATTCCATAATTGAAAGCCTTGTTAATTAAATTCTGTGATCCCTGCTGTGCCTAAATAATAGAAAATAAAGGAATCATTTTTCTGGTGGAAAAAAAAACCCAACAGGTTTTGAAAAAAGATTTTAACCCATAAAACTTATGCTATAAATACATAAAGCTTTCCACTAGAGGAAAAAGGGACATGGTGGCTTAAATTTTCAGCCATATTTTTCTAGAAATTTCGCCCACACGAAATTGCTATTTTTGGATATTATTTGAGTAATACAGTAGAAAATCGTGGAACATTCGAGGATGATAATTGTGCGGGTGATGGAGATTCCATTGAGACGTTATGGAACTGAAGGCTCACGTGATAGAATAGATTTGTTCACGCTTCAAGAGGTAACTCGTGAAACCCCATATATGCTAGTTATCTAAATTACATATTATTTTGATACTGAGATTGTTTTCGCTGCTTATAATAATTCATTAATAAATTACGTGTGATTTTGATACTGAAATTGCTTTTGCTGCTTATAATAATCCATCAAATGGGAAAGTATTGCGTATTAAGATTTTTTTTTAATTTTCAGGACTCGTACCCAAGGCTCATATTAGGATGATGGGGTCCTATTTATCTCTCCACGGTCCTTGATTGACCACCTTAGCATGTATGCTACACAAGGTATGAAAAATGGCTATTTTATAAATTCTATAGAAAAAGTTGAGTAGATATATTTTCGAATCAATGACCCTCACATGCTATATATATATTTTTAAAAATAGAAATTATTCGATGGCCTACCATTTGTTAACGGTTAAGTTTTCTAATGTCAAATTGCCTAACAATTCCCAAACCAGACGAATATCATCCATTAATTTTAATCAATAAAATCAGTTCAATGTCTCCTTCATTAGGTTTTGCGGGCCACTACAGAGAATCATAAAACACGCTCTCAATTGATAAACACGTATGTTTGTGGGGTCCAATACTTTACTTCTCTTATTTTAAAGAAGAATGACATTATTACTTTTTTTTTTTTTAAAGAATTAGAAGTTCATAGTACAAGGATTAAACCTTTTAATTTTTATTTCGGACAATGATAAATGTACATAGTTAGAAACTAGATATACAAGGAGCACTAAAATGTGTAAATTCTTAAAATTAGAAAAATTTAAAATATGATAAATTTTGGTCAAAGAAAAAATTATTTGACTCTTTAAAATCACAATAATGTCATTAAAATGCAATGAGAATAATAGATGTTCGTAGATTTTTTTGTTGCAATTTCTTAAAACTAATTTATTGTAAACTTAATTTAATTTTGTAACATTTATGATTATCTAAATTTAATTTTTAGATAATTTTAAAATTAAGAGTCCAAAATTCAAACTTTAAATTAGATGAGTTGATTTGTATACTTCAAATTTTATCATTTCCTTTGTGGAAGAAGAGATAATTTTTTAACCACCAAAATATTGCGGTGGGGTGGCAAGTAGACGTTCATCCTTAATCAGCATTTCAGATGTGAGTGTTGAGGATAAAATCACTTTTATTATGGAGTAATTTACTTTAAAGTGTGATTCTTAGGTGCGAATTTAAATTAGTTGGGCTCCAAAACAAATAGTTGAACCGAGTTTAAAACCAAAATGTTCGGGTCCTAAGGATGAATGTCGCTTTTGTTATGAAGTGATTTATCTTTAAAGTAGAATTTTTTGACACGAATACAAATTAGCTAGCTAAAAGCGGATATGGGAACCGAGTTAAAAACCGAAAAAAGGAGGGAGTTATTGTTTATAACGACTAACATTAGTGGGGCTCCTCTCACCTTACATGGATGCATGATTATTGGCTAACTTGGCTACACGTGAAAATTGACTCTTTCCTCTTACATTTGTCGGTTCTCTCTGAATTTTGAATTTCAATATAAGCCTGACCTGATTGACTTATGATTTGTCTTTGTTGTGATTATTTAATTAATTACTACCACAATAATCCCTGGATAATTCATAGATTAGTGCAACATTATTGGGAGTGATAAATACTGATGTGGAAGGGTGTCAAAGGATGTAATTTACTCTCTAATATTCTGATAAAAGCCAATGAAAAAAATATAAAAAGTTAAAAATGGTTGTGGATTAATCCTTAAAGCCTCAGAAGAAAACAAAAATAATTACCCCATTTATCCCAATTTGTTTAATAATATCACTCAAACACGTGTTTTAACCTTCAATAGGTGGGATGAAAATCATGAGAGTTTACGGATCAGATTCCAACAATGTAAAAATTACAAGCGCTTTCTTTTTATCTGTCAAATCGTTGATATGTAGTATTGTTCGATACTTGTAAAATGACAAAAGAATATGCTTTAGAATATTAGTCAAAATATGTTCACATAACTAGAATATCAAAAAATGAGCAGAGAAAGTACAAAAGCTAATTTGTTGAACTTCTTGAATTTTTCACTTATAACAATTCTTGCGGTTAAGCAATATACTTGTTTCTAAATGCAACTTTTTAACAAAATATTATTAAAGAGTAAATTTTATTTCACCATCTTAACCTTTAATGTTTGGAAAATAATACCCCTTTTACTCTTTGAATTGATACAATAACCTCCTTGAATTTTAATGTTTGGAAAAAAGTATTATTGTCTTTTTTATTATTTTTCTTCCAAAGTTAGTCAAAAATCAATAAATAAAAGCACCAACGCAAAGTTTCCAATAAAAACTGAAAATAAATGGCAACCAAAAACTCACAAAATAAATGTGGATCTTCCCTTTCAGTAGGAGTAATAATTAAAGCTCAACAAACATTTTGCTGATTCATAAGATGAACCAAAACAGAAGAAAAAATCTCTCACCAACCTATAGGCAACCATATTTGAAATTAATTAAAAAACAGAAGGAAAAAAATGACAACCACGTTTGAACAAAAATTCTGATTTTTTAAACCTACTAAAACGGTCAACCGTCCCTCAATACACGGCCATAGTTACAATTTCAATAGCAGTTAACCACACATAATATCAAAACAAGAATTAAAAAAATTGAATGGTAAAAATTCAAAGTAAATCCCAAAAAACACTTTTAAAAAAAGAAATATGATTAATATTCCAAAAGAGACTTCCCTTTACTTTTAAGGCCAAAAGAAGAAGCTAGCATTAAACAGCTCCCTCTTTAGGCCTTTTTCTCTATAATTCCCTCTCCTAAAACTCAAAACAAAACAAACCAAAAGCCAAAAACAATGACGAAACGTTTGCTCCTTTGTTACAGAAGAATGCTTCATTTGAATATGAAAAGGAAAATCATTTGCAAATTCACAATCCTACACAAATATTTTAGTTCATTTTGGAACAAAATTCTTGCTTGTTGGATAGGTAAGTCTATTAATTATAGACAATTGTCACATAATCAATCTTTTCCGAGCACCACCACCACCACCATGAATATGGCTTCTCCGCCGTTGTCCGCCGTCGCGAGTTCGGAGAGTGGATTTTCGGGGAGTTTAGCATCTACATGTTGTTGTGATCATTCTAAGGATTCGTCTGAGGATGTTGTTGCTTTGAAGATTAGCCTTTTGGGTGATAATCAAATTGGCAAGACATGTTTCTTGGTTAGTTCTCTTGATCTCTTTCTATTCTTGGTTTATTGAATCTTGGCCTCATTTTTTAGGCGGATCAGAAATTTAAATTTGATCGATTCAATCTTTAGATTCTTTTTATTGAACTCATTATACTTTTAAAAATATGATTTTAAAATTTAATATTTATTGAGATTTTGATGAATTTTACCATATATATCTATACTTCGTGTCAAAATATTGGGCTCTGCCCATGTCGAGCTGATTACCTGTGGATAGTTTTGGGTGTCTAGAGGTGTTAAATCATCTCACATTTGCGGAGGTAGATCCAGAATTAAAAACCTATGGGTTTAACTTTTAAAGTTTTTATATTAAACCCATTATATTTTTAAAGTTATGAGTTCATATTTATTATTTTTGTAATTTTAATGATTTTTTACATATAATTTTTAACTCTGCGTCGAAAGTTATGGATTCAGTTGAACATGTCGGTGATACATTACATTGGCCGAGGAATGAGTTGTTGTTTTATATTATGTTGGATTTATAATTTTTAGCTCATGAGTTAACTTTTGGATTTGAGTCTTGGCGATATGTCAATTTTATTAACAATAATTAGGATTCTCTCCATTCTAGTTTATGTATTTGTCGTTTTTATCCATTTTCAATCTTGGTTTTGACTTTTCTTGTGTGTTTTTTCAATTGAAGACAAAGTATGTAGGAAAGGAGAAAGCAGCAGATGAAGACTTTTCAACAAAAGGGTTAAATCAGATGGACAAAACTTTGTGTGTGAGAGGGACAAGAATCTCATATAGCATTTGGGAAGTTAAAGGTAATATATGCATTCGATCTTCTTTTATTTTCTTTTAATAGAACAAAGAAAAGGGTATTAGAAAATAGCAATTTAGATCTAAAACGATGTGAATTTAAAGATTGTTAATAATGCAGATGATGTTTCTGCCCCAACTAATATTCCAATGGCTTGCAAGGATTCTGTTGCTATGTGTTTTATGTTTGATCTCACAAGTCGCTGTACACTCAATAGGTATGAGGTTTTATTTTTATTTTTTTTTGACTAAAGAATAAGAAGCTAAGGATCATAATTTTTAAGTTTATGGTCTAAAATTTGCTTTTATAGTGGATCCTAACTTGTTTAGAAATGAGACATAGTTGTGATTGTCGTCGTCTAAAATTGTTTTCGTGTTTAATTACAGTGTCATTAGCTGGTATCAACAAGCACGCCAATATAATCAGGCAGCAATTCCTGTAATGATAGGGACAAAGTTTGATGACTTTGTGAAATTGCCATTGGATCTGCAGTGGACAATTGCAAGTCAGGTATAATTCTCATTCTTTCTTGAGAAGACTATAATTATGATAAATAAACAGAAAAGAAACAAAAAAAACACACACACACACACAATAATAAAAGTACTGAAATGGGGAGGGAGGACAGGGGTGGAGAGAATATCATTGTAGATGTAGGACGCTTAATAGACAAATACAGTCAGACCTCTCTATATAACAATTATTCACTATAAAAGTCATATTTTTCTCAGAACCGATTCTAATGTTATGTTATAATATATATCCTCCATAACAGTACTTCGCTATAGCAGCAAAAAATATTTGAATAAACAAGGCTGTTATAGAAAAGTTTGATTGTAGACATCTGTACTTGCACGAAATTTTGTTCCTGATCTCCTAACTCCGCGAGTTTTCAACCAGATACCTCTGTTTGAGTCGAGTGAAGAGGTCGAAAACTGAATTTCGTGCAAGTACGAATATTAACATATTAAGCCCACAGTGGAAATGATTCTATGAGATATTTGTTCATCATGTGTTTTTAAGTCCTCATATTTTCTCTTTAGAATTTTAAAGTAGTCTAAAATTAGAAAGTTTCTAATCACATGTCTTGGAGTTTTTTGATATTCACAGTGTTCTAACGTCATTTTTAACAGGCAAGAGCATATGCAAAGGCAATAAATGCAACACTATTTTTCTCAAGTGCAACCTACAATATCAATGTGAATAAGATCTTCAAGTTCATTACAGCAAAGCTCTTCAATTTGCCATGGACATTGGAGCGTAACCTTACCATTGGAGAACCAATTATTGATTTTTAGGTTTTCTCTTCAGTTGTGTAATTAAGAAAAAGAAAAAAAAAAGAGTTTGCCTTTTTATATTAGTTGTAGATATGAGAGAATCCAAAAAAAAATCAGAGAGAAAGAAATGATTCACATAGTCAACCGGTCACTGGAAATTGTTTCAACCAGTGAAAATTCGGGTTGTCTTCATATGACATTTTTATGCATTGGAGAAATTTCAATTTTCTTTTTCTCATTTCCTTTGAAGTACACAATGCAGTTGTAATTTCCATTTTTTTGGGAGTTGTTTGACAAGTTAGTTAATCAGAGACGCCCCAGGGTATGATATAACGGTCGAAAGATAAAAATATGAAAAACTAGAGTCCAAATGTCAGCAAAGGCAAAAAATAAAGGTTATTTTTTTTTATCCGCCAAAACCTTGATAGGCAGAGTTACTTAATATATGTATGGTGAGGGGGAGCACGTACCCGATAAAATGGTTGAGGTATGCACTAGTCCGCCATGATAGAAATGTTAGAAAAAAATACAACAACAACAAATCCAGTATAATTCCACATGGTGAAATTTAGGGAAGGTAGTGTGTATGCAGCCTTACCCCTACCTTGTGGAGATAGAGAGGTTGTTTTCAATAGACCCTCGACTCGGAAAAGCATAAGCACCACATTAAAGAATAGAAAAATAAGAATCACAATAGTGAGAAGCCATGTAAAAGTAACATAAATAACAACCAAATAATCAGGAGACCACAACGAAAGAAATGACAGGTAGTCATAAAAACTTAATGCCAACAGAATACTAAAGTACGTACTAATACTACTGGTATGATAGGGAGAACACTAAACTAACTACCCTACTACCCTAATCTTCGGCCTCCACAACTTCTTATCAAGGGTCATGTCCTCGGTCAGCTAAAGCTGCGCCATGTCATGTCTAATCACCTCACCTCAATTCTTCTTCGGCCTACCTCTACCGCTCCTTAGGCCTTCCAATGTCAACCTCTCACATCTCCTGACCGGAGCGTCTGTGCTCTGCCTCCTCACACATCCAAATCATCTAACTCTCGCTTTCCACATCTTGTCCTCAATTGGGGTCACATCCACCTTGTCTCGAATAACTTCATTCCTAATCGTATCTAACCTTGTGTGCCCGCATATCTATCTCAACATCCTCATCTCTGTTACTTTCATCTTCTGGACATGAGAGCTCTTGACTGGCCAACATTCAGCTTCATACAACATAGTCGGCCTGACTACCCTCTGTAGAACTTACCGTTGGATTTTGCTGGGACATTCTTATCACACAAAGCACCGAAAGTATGTCTCCATTTTATCTATCCCGCCCCAATACGATGTGTGACATCTTCGTCGATCTCCACATTCCCCTATATAATTGACCCAAGATACTTAAAACTTCCTCTCATAGGGATTACATGTGAATCTAGCCTCAACCCCTTCCACTTCCTGAGTCATCCCACTGAACTTACACTCTAGGTATTCCGACTTAGTCCTACTCAACTTGAAACCTTTAGACTCCAGGGTCTGCCTCCACATATCTAACCTCGCATTAACGTCGCCTCGCGTCTCATCAATCAATACAATATCATCTGCAAATAATATGCACCATGGCACCTCTCCTTGGATGTGACGCGTCAATACGTCCATCGCCAGGGCAAATAAAAAAGGGCTAAGAGCTGACCCTTGGTGCAACCCCATCATGACCGGAAAATGATCTGAGCCCCCTCCTACTATTCTCACCCTGGTCTTAGCTCCTTCATACATGTTCTTACTCGCCCTAATGCAAGCAAAAAGTATACCTCTAGCCTCCATACATCTCCACAGGACCTCCCTCGAGGCTTTATCATAGACCTTTTCTAAGTTGATGAAAACCATATGCAAGTCCCTCTTCCTCTCCCTATACTGCTCAATCAATCTCCTAACAAGGTGAATGGCTTTCGTAGTCAAGCGCTTCGGCATAAACCCGAATTGTTAGAAAAAAATAAAGTTAGTTAATCAGCAACTACAAGATCAATCATTGAAGTAGCAACTATTAGGGGCATATCCAGAATAGAAATTATGGGTTCACCTGAATCTATAGTTTCGACTCAGACTTTGTATATCTGTCAGAAAACTCATTAAATATGTATAAATAATAGATTTTGAACCCATTAAATTAAATAAAATATGGTAAAATTTTTAATCTAAACACAAAAAGTTCAAATCCTGGATCTGGCTCCGAAAACTATCAAAACTGCTCAAAAATTAAGAGGTGAATTTAACTAGGACTGAGGTTTTTCAAAGAGGGATGAAAGACTGCACCGTATCAAAACTCTTTCTCAACAAGGCAAGTCCTCCCAGGAAAGCAACGAAAGAACATTGACAAAAAGGAAACAAACTTCCATATGGAAAAGTTTCTTGAAATTTTGAAGAGCTTTATATCTTTAAGAAAACATATTATCATCAAGAATCTGCGATCATACTCAGTATCTTGAATAGAAAAACTAACCCAGTATTTGAAATGTTGAACATAACTAACAAGAGAGCAATGCTCTTTAAAGTTGAAGTTCTCTCTTGGGGGGAACCAACTGCAAGTAATAGAATGGCTCAGTAGGTTCTTCCCTGCGCATTGATTAAGCATATGAAACATGTCATCCATAAAATTAGATAATATAGAAACATAAAATATGTCAATTGAAAAGAATAAAGATATTTCAATGGATTGAATATAACTTATTGACCTAGAGCTAAATTAGGCACTTCATTCAAATGCATCTTTTCTTTTTCTTTTTCTCTTTTGGAGAAAGGGTGGGTGGAGGGGCGAGGCGGCAAGCTTACTGTTTAGCTTCATTTTTTGTGAAACGATAAAACACTGTAATTAGCTCACAGCTCATGCATGGATCAATATAATTTTTCGACGAAGGATGATCAGTTGACCACCCTTGATAGGCTGTAGCTTCGCCACTGCCTGAATAGCTTGAAAGGCCCTGGAATTCTTTTAAATGGATTGCCTTCAAAACAGGCCTGCAGAGTACTAGCAAATTAACATACTCAGCCTTTTGAAAATAGAAGATGAACAAGCATAACATGCATATGATGCACATGTGAGATAATGATGCATCGGCTCCAGGGACAAACCCATGTATCAAAAAGACTTATGAATTGGACTCTGAAGAATGAGACAACATAATGTAACAAAGGAATAGAAAGGATGACCAGGATAGTGTTTGACCAAAAATATAGATCTTGGTCCAACCAATTAGATTTAAATAAAGAAGAGCTAATCTTAGTTAATAATAATATCCTAAAGACAAAGCTATCAGTGTTGTGACAAATAACTTGGACATTTGTCCGGATGGCAATGAATATAAGCAATAATAACAGTATTCAATAATCCAAAAGATAGTATATGGCATTAAATAGTAATAAATATCAATAAGTGTTATTTAAGTAAATAAAATGTGTGAGTCACCCGAAAAGGGATGAGATTAGTAGATATTCTCTCTGATAACGATGAATGATTGATAAGCCTTTGAACACTTAGGTTGTTTTGGATCCAGAGGAAATGCTAGACAAGAATCTTAATAAAAAAGTTATTTTTGTATGCTTGCAATAGGATAAGATTCTCTCTATGAAGTCAATGTATTTTTTACAAATGAATATCTCATGTCCCCTATTATTGTCTCTCTTTCTATTTATAGGGAACATGTTCCTAGAAATCCTAATAGTATAGGTGCAGAGAATATACACTAGAATATTCTCTTTAGTGTCCTATCTTAAAAATAGCCGTTATAACTCTGTCAAGGATGTTCGACCTCGATCTTGATCTTTGACGACTCCTCAACCTTAATCCTTGCTGACTATTCGACCGCAACCTTCATTATTTCTAGAACCACTTTGACCTTGGGCAGGTCTCTACTAGAGTCTCATTGGTGACACATAGCAGCCTGTGAATGCCTCACTAATGCTAACATGACTTAATCATATTAGAGATAATTTTTGACCCATACAGTTAGTTCGTCCGCTTATTGAGGTCATCCTCGCAGGTGAACTTAATGAGCGGATAATTGTCATTTCTAGTTGAGCTTATCGAGTTAGTTATAAGAGTCATAATCGCCGTTCCGAGCAGAACACATGGCCCTTTGTGGGCCGTAAAATTCAAATACTTCTTGTTTCTCGGGCGATTTGTTGGAGTTACCCTGTCCAAGGAGCATAATGACGTCATGGCAATTATGACGTATATTTTTGATGTGTCACCTCGATTCATATGTGACCCTTGATTGGATATGCCGTTTCAATTCTGGTGCCAATGATGACGAGCCATTTTTGGGTTCAGTGCCATGATCTCTATAAATTGAGGTTTTTGGACTTGAATTTGAAGTTTGCTTCTCCTAACTTTCCAAAGCTTTATCCTTCTTGCCATTTTCTTCTCTAAACTTCCCTCTTCACTCTGCTGCCTTATTCCATCTCCATTCTTTCCCTCTCGTTATTCTTCTTTACTATTTTGCCCTATGTCTAACTTACCATCAAATGATGGTGAAGGGAGTCGTATTCCTCCTTTGGCAGTTGTGTTTCCCCATCATGAGGAGGGTGCTTCCACCATTGTTGATGATGAAGCATTCCTGTCAGTGGAGGAAAAAATCTCCCACAATCTTGACTCTAGGTTTGAGCTCACCAAATTACCTGACACTGCGCCTGGAGGTTTTAAATCAACGATGACGCCTAAGGAATCGGCGGAACTCAAGGCCAAATTCGGCCTTCCAAACCATGTCGAACTGATCCCGGCTAGTGGGAACGTGGTGTAGGTTCAGTTACCCGGATACTGCACTTTATACGCTTATCCTTTCATCATCGGTTATTCGTTCCCCCTCCTTCCGTTGGTGGAGGAATTCTGTTATCACTACGGTGTCTGCCCTGCTCATCTTGCGTCGTATGTCTACAAAATTATTAGGATGTTGACAAAATTTGTCGAGCTGGCCGGGGTCGAGCTGACGTTGTAGCATTTGGTTCATCTCTTCACCCCTAGCTTTTATAGGGGGCGATGCTGAATCTTTTCCATCGTGGAGGCAAGTGTTTGGTGGTGAAGACGGACGATAAAACCAGTCGTCAATTCTGGCTCAATGTTCTCTTTTTTTTGTTCGCGTTCTTTTACTTACTTGGAGATTATTGAAGGACATTTTCTTTCTTTGTAGCCAACACTCAGCATCCCCTTCTAGTCACACACATTTCTGACTAGGTCGAGCAAATCCTCTACTACGTCGACTGGCCGAGCTTTATCAATAAGTTCAGACCGGCTCTCCCTTCGACATATAACTTTCCTTATTGGCCTGTGGTCGTTCCATTTTTCATTATATGCTGACTCGTTTTGCTGACTTCAACGTTTATTTCTTTCTCAGGCAGAGGGTCTTCTAGAAGAAGACGGGTATCAGTGCCATCCTTTCGGAGGAAGGCTGATGCCCCTTCGATTTCTGTCCTTATTGTGATTATTGTCGCTTCTGTGCCGACCTCATCTTCGGCTGCCTCAATCCAAGACCATGCCTTCTTTTCATCCTCTGCTTCTTCTCCTCAACGCCTTTCACTGATTGATGATGACGATGATAACTCTACTGATAAAGGTATCCTAATACCTCATAAGAGGAGAGCCGTGGATGCGGGAGGAGAAAAGCCAGTAGACGTCGACTTGGAAGAATATGACTTTGTTCTTCGAGAGATGGCCATAGTGTATGTTGGAGTGAGCCCCGAGGCAGGTTCTGAGGTCCCGCACTTGGAGGAGATGAACACGAGTGCATCAATGTGTCCTGTGGTGGAGACGGTGGATGGCGGGATGCATAATGACGGCCTCGCACTTCCGAGGCAAGATGAGGCTTCATCTTCTAGGTTCCCAGTGGATGTACCCTCTGTGGCTAATGATAGAGAGAAGGCTATTACTGAGGAGGACGTTGGATCTGAATTTTATATGGACCTGGACGAGTTGAGAATGATCGATGAAAGACTCACTCAACTTGAAGTAAGGTTGGAAGGAGGCTCCAGGACTATTGTGATCCCAATGGATTGTAATCTTCTTGTATACACCGAGGAAATAGTCTTTGACCTCGGTCCTCTTTGTTCTAAGATTGAGGGTACGACCCTCGAGATGATAAATGACAGTACTCTGTCGAATAACATTGCTGCTCTTGCTCGCCGGGTAAATATGACTGTCATATGTTCTTTTCCTTATGCTTCAATTTCTTTCGTAAGCTCTAATTCCTTTTTTTGTTTTGTAGACGGTTATTCTAGAGATTGAGAGTGCTCATCGGGAGAAGAGGCGTAAAGACATTTACGTGAAGCTAAAGGACAAGTATACAAGGTGCCTTGAGAAGTACCAGGAGCTCTAGTGTCGGCTTCGCGAAGGCGATGACGTACGGATCCTGAGGGAGGACTTGAAGAAGAGGGACGAGGAGATGATGCGGGTCGTAGAGAAATGCAACATCTTTGAAGGGATATTGAAGAGAAAAGAGGAGGAGCTTGAGCTTAGTAGGGGCGTAGAGGCCCAATGCAGTGATCTCCAAGCCCAAGTGGTCCTGCTGCGAGGCTAACTCGAAGAGTGCCAGTTTAAGGAGGATGCCCTTAGTGGCGAGGTCGCCGAGAAACCAAGGAGCTTAATAAGGCAGAGTCTGCTCAGTCGGAGGCTCTTAGGAGGGTGGAGTTCCTTGAAGTGGCAAATCGAACCCTCCATTCTGATCAAGAAAATGACTTGTCGACGGCGAGTCTTATATAAGAACGGCTTTATGAAAAGGATTAGGGAGTTGGAGAAAGAGACCTTCGATCTTTATGATCAAGTTGCCGCTCTAGAGGCCGAGAAGGCCAAACTACTTGTACAACCTTCTTCATCTATGACTTCTGGCTTTCCCAATGTTCCTTGTGAGTTGTATGAAGAGTGGATTCACACCGAGGCCCGATTGGATGTGCTTCGTGAGTTGCATGTAGCGGGTTTTGTTCCTGCCGCGGACTTTGAAGATGCTCGAGTCAAGGCTCGCGAGTCTCGGGTTGCTTGTGGCTACGACCCAACTACGCCTCGTCCTGGTGAAGAAGATGAGGACGGTGAGGATGTTGTAGATCACCTTGAGGATGAGGCCCGGTATGATTCTATATACCCTTCAGGCGAGGAGGGAGAGGGAATTAAAGATTGATCCGGTGAGGATGTCGTGGGTCGTGATTGCGATGGCCAGCAGTAGTTCTTTTTTCTCTATCATTTTTGTGTATTTTTGTTGGCGTCTTCAAGAGCCTTTGTAAGAAACCTTTGTTTATAAATATCAAAGTTGGGTTTTGCTTTTATTTGTATCTTTCTTATTTGCCCTGGTTTGTTTCTGTACTTTGTTTGTCATCGTTCTTGTAAATATCAGAGTCCTTGGGTCGAATAGCTGTGGGCCAAATTACCCCTTTGCCCGTATAGGTGGAGCATGTCTACGGACCGATCGGTTAGGTTTGAACTTGATCGAACTTAGCTTCTTATTTAGTTGCGTTTAACCTTCTATTGAAACGTGGCCGGGGGACAATAGGTGTTATTCGAACTTGGACTAATTTTAACCTCCTTAAATCATGGCTGAGAGCCTATAGGTGTCATTCGAACTTGGTCGAATTATAACCTCTTTAAATTGCGGCTGAGGGCCGATTAGTGTTGTTTGAGTTGGGTTGAACTTAACCTTTTGTTAGGGTGTGGTCGCAGGCCGATAGGTGTCATTCGACCTTGGTCGAATTATAACCTCTTTAAATTGCGACCGAGGGCCAATTGATGTTGTTTGAGTTGGGTCAAACTTAACCTTTTGTTAATCACGACCGAGGACCGATAGGTGTTGTTCGAGTGGGGTCGAACATAACCTTTTGTTAATCGCGGCCGAGGGCCGATAAGTGTTGTTCGAGCATGGTCGAACTTAACCTTTTGTTAGTTACGACCGAGGGCTGATAGGTGTTGTTTGAGTGGGGTCGAACGTAACCTTTTGTTAATCGCGACCGAGGGCCGATATGTGTTGTTCGAGTGGGGTCGAACTTAACCTTTTGTTAGTTACGGCCGAGGGATGATAGGTGTTTATGATAAACGTAAGTTTCTTATTATTTTGACGTTGTTGCTCTGATTATATGATTAGAGAAAGTTACAAATTTTGGGCATTGGCTGACGTTCCAGTCCCAGTTTATCTAGTCCCTTCATTGCTTGACTTGGAGAGTATTGAGGAGTCGGGCAATGAAATAGAAAAATAGTCCCTCCATCGCATACTTCGAATCGAAGTTTCCCCTTGTCGCCTCGTTAAAAACCTCCTTGAGAAAACCCTAATGGGACAAAACTCAAGTGATGAAAGAATTGTACGACTTGGGGACACTTCTTCCTTTTAGAAGTTGAAATATTTGAGGTGGCTGATGTTCTAATTGTTCGGTAATTGCTTTCCTTCCATTGTCTCTAATTAGAATGAACCCTTGTTTGCTTTGGCTGTAATTTTGTACGGGCCGTCCCAGTTTGTTCCCAACTTGCCTTCATGTGGTTCTTTGCTCGCTTGAGTTTTGGCTTTGAGTACGTAGTCCCCGAATTTAAGCGGTCGAACCTTTGCTTTCTTGTTGTAATAATGTTCTATTTGTTGCTTTTGGGAGACCATCCTTAAATAGACCAAAGAGTAGGGTTTCTCTCATGTGCTCGTCTTCGGGGTAGTTCTATATGCCCATAATACTTCTGGGAGTATCTTCGGCCACAGTCCCTTGGCGTCTTCGAGCTTTTCTTCATGATGTTTAATATGGACTTGTTAGAGTATTCTGCCTGTCAGTTACCCGCCGGGTGATACGGGGTTGAAAGTATCCTCTTAATATGACATTTCTCGAAGAATTCGATGGTTTTCTTTCCTGTGAACTGGGGTCTGTTGTCGCAACTGATCTCCTTGGGTAGGCCAAATCGGCAGATGATATTTCTCCATATAAAGGTGATTACCTATTGTTCGCATATTTGGACGAACGCTCCTGCTTCCAACTATTTAGAGAAATAGTCAGTTAAAACCAAAAGGAATCGTACATTACCTCGCCCTGTTGGGAGGGGGACCACGATGTCCATTCCCTACTTGATGAACGGCCATGGAGAGGTGACTGATTGGAGGTGTTCTCCTAATTGGTGAATTACCGGGGCGTATTTCTGACATTGTTCGCATTTCTTTTTCATGGTGGGCCAATAGTATCCTGCCCGTATGAGGCACCTGACGAGTGCTCGATTGCCGGAGTGAGCACCGCAATGGCCTTCATAGACTTTTTCGAGGACACGCTGGGTTTGGTTTGGGCCCAAACATTTCACCAGAGGGCTACCATATGTCCTCCTGTACAGGTCACTATGGAGGAGATTGTATCTGGCTGCTTGCATTCTTAGTTTCTTGGCTTCTTTTTTGTCGTTTAAGAGTGCGCCATGATGGAAATAGGCGATAATACGATTATGCCAATCCCAGGTTAAGCTTACAGATCTTACCTCGACTTGGTCTAGCGATGAATAGAGGAGGTGGACTACACTTTTATCCCCGGTCGTGATACTTTTGGTAGCCGCAACCAATTTGGTGAGGTCGTCTGCTTCAGCATTCTGCGCAAGCATGATATGGTCGAGCTGGCATTCGTCAAACTCGGGCAGCAGCTTACAGATCTTCGTCTAATATTTTTGCAACCTTTGTTCTTTAATTTGGAAAGTCCCTATGACTTGGTTGACTATGATTTGGGAATCACATCGGAGTTTCAACCGCTTTGCCCCGTACTTGAGTGCTAGCCTCAATCCTGTAATTATGGCCTCATACTCGGCCTCGTTGTTAGTCATATCTGGGCATTTTATGGACTAGAAAATTACTTTACCGGTAGAGATCTCTAGTACGAGTCCCAGTCTGGATCTGGAGGCGTTGGATACGCCGTGGGTGTATAGGACCCAGGGTTCTTGTGTTTGGAGAGAAGCTTGGAAGACTTCCTTCTCGACTTCAGGAATTATTTTTGCACTGCATTTTGTGACGAAGTCGGCGAGCACTTGCGACTTTATCGTCGTCCGTGGTTGATACATGATACCGTGCTCGCTTAGTTCGTTGGCCCACTTGGCCAAACTTCCCGACAGCTCGGGTTTATGTAAAATTTCTCTTAGGGTAAAGATGGTAACAACCGAGATAGGGTGACATTGGAAATAGGGTCTAAGCTTTCGTGAAGCTACGATTAGTGCCAGGGCCAGTTTCTCGAGGTGCGGGTACCTCGTCTCGGTGTCGACGAGTGTTTTGCTGATATAATAAATGTGAGACTGCTTACCTTTTGTTTCTCGAATCAGGACTGCACTTACTGCTACTTCGGAGATGGCTAGGTAGACGAGGAGATGTTCCTCGGGTTCGGGCTGTGAGAGCAGAGGCGGTGATGAAAGATACGCCTTTAGTTATCGTAGAGCTTGTATACACTCAGGTGTCCACTCGAGGTCGTTGTCCTTTTTTAGTACGCCGAAAAATAGGTGACATCTGTTAGATGACCGTGAGCTGAATCTCGATAAGGCGGTGATTCACCCAGTCAACTTGGTCGGGGTTAACCTCGATCCCCCGTTGTGACACTAAGAAGCCCAAGAACTTCCTAGAGGCTACGCCAAATGCGTATTTCTCTGGGTTTGGTTTCATTACATACCGTCTTAGTATATCGAAAACTTCCTTCAAATGGTTGATATAGTCCTCAGCCTTTAAGGATTTGACCAGCATGTCGTCTATATATACTTTCATGGTCTTGCCGAGCTAATCTTTAAACATTTTCGTGACCAATCTTTGATATGTAGCCCCTGCGTCCTTCAGCCTAAATGGGATGACCCTATAATAATATGTTCCTCGGTGGGTGATGAACGTGGTTTTCTCTTGGTCCTCTTCTTCCATAAGTATCTAGCTATAGCCTGAGTACGCGTCCAAAAAACTCAACAACTCGTGCCCGGCCGTTGCGCCGATGAGTTGGTCGATATGTGGTAACGGGAACGAATCCTTCGGGCATGCTTTGTTCAAGTCCATGAAATCTACGCACATCCGCCATTTTCTATTTTTCTTTTTGACCATCACTACGTTGGCGATCCATTTGGGGTACTTTGACTTCCTGATAGAGCTATTTTCTAATAGTTTCTCCACCTTCTCATGGACGACATCATTAATGGTGGGATTGAATTTACGTCTGACCTGCTTTACCGAGGGGTAGAACGGGTCGACGTTTAATTTGTGTGTGGCAACCTCCTTGGGGATGCCTGACATATCTGCATGGCTGAAGGCAAACAAATCTGCAATTGTTATTAAGAATTGGCTAAATTTACCGGGTTCTCAGAGTTTATAGCCGATGTAGGCCTTTTTGCTGTAGTCGATAGGGTCTAATTGAACGGGGTAGAGGTCCTCTACAGTCGAGTCCGCGACTTCGACCATTTCGAGATCCATGATGACGTCCCTGGTCTCTTCTTGTGTCGACCTCGACCCTGTTGATTGCTATGCCTTATTTTCCTTATCTTTTTTCTGTTGGTTTCTGGTGTCATCTAAGGCGATGCGGTAGCACTCCCGGGATGCGTGCTGCTCTCCCTGTATGCTGAATATCCCCCAAGGTGTTGGGAATTTGATTACTTGCTATGGGTTGGAAGGGATGGCTCTCATAGGATGTATCCATGGTCGTCTACTATGGCATTGTACGCGGTGGCCTGGTCCATGATGTGAAATATTGTCTCTAGTGTTACGCCGCCAGCCAAGACAGGGAGTGTAATTTCCCCCGATGTCCGTTCAACTGCATTATTAAAACCGGTTAGTGTGATGCAGCATGGCACTATCTTGTCCTCGAGTCTCATTTGGGCGAGGATTCGGGGATGGATAATGTACGCTCGACTTCCATCGTCTACCATGATACGTTTGACATCAATATCTAAAATGTACAAAGTAATGACGAGAGCATCATTATAAGGGAAAGTCAAACTGTCGGCATTTGACTCATCAAAGATGATACTTTTTTTGAGTCCGTCATACAGTTAACTGGTGATAGATCGTTTGAGTTTGTGAGTGGTGGTGAATTTAACACCGTTGATGGAGGCATTGTCGTTGCCGCCAATGATCATATTTATAGTACGAGCTGGTGATGGCAGCTTTGGCAGGCCTTGGTGTTCACGTCCTCTGGCGAAGTTATTTCTCCCCTTGTCGCTCAACAACTTTTTGAGGTGTCCCTGCCGCAACATGTTTACAACTTCTTGCCTGAGGGAGATGCAATCTTCTATTTTGTGCCCGCGCTTTTGGTGGAACTCACAGAGAGTGTCGGATTTTCTGGTGCTCGGATAGGACCTCATCTTTGGCGGCCACTTCACCTTCGTTCCGAGTTTCTCCAGGGTATAGACTATTTCTGTAAGTGATACACAAAAATTATGAGCAGATAATAAAGGGGCATACCTCTCTCGTTCCGGTGAGTCCCCGTTCTTGGCCTAGATGGCCCTCCTCATAGCAAAGAGAAGGTGGGGCGGAGGCCCTGTCGTATGGTTGGTGTCATTCCATGTTGGGTCGTGAGACAGGGTGATCCCTCCTAATGTTGTCTCTTCGTTCTTGCCTGGACTCGGTTTGTACAGAGATGAGCTGATGAGTTGGTCCGTTGAGGTCGTCCTCATCTGCTCGGACTTCGGCATAGTAAGCATTATGGATCTCGTCCCAAGTGGTTGGAGGATATTTTATCAATCGGCTCAGCAGTTGTCTAGTCACTCTCAAACCATCTCTACTCAACCCGTTCTGAAAAGTCGCGACCGCCATCCCCTCGGGACACGTTTGATAGGGTCATCCTTACCCTGTTGAATCGGGCGAGAAAGTCCCTCAGTCCCTCTCCCAAGGACTGCTTGATGGCGAATATTCGTTTACTCTTGTTTCGACTTTCCTGGCTCCGGCATGCGCCATTACGAACTTATCGGCCATTTCCTTGAAGGTTTCTATGGAGTGGGCTGGTAGCTGTGAGTACCATATTAATACCCCTCCCGTAAGAGTTTCTCCAATTTTCTTCAGCAAAATAGAAGACACTTGTTACTTGGTAAGGTTGTTTCCTTTCACGGCGGTGACATAATGAGTCACATGATCTTCGAGATCATTCGTTCCATCGTATATCCTGAGATATGACTGCATTTTGAAGGTCTTTGGTATGGCATGAAGGGCTGCTTCTTCGTTGTACGGCTACTCTACGAACCTACCGGCGTCTTTCTTTGGCAATAGCTTAGGGGCACCCGGTATCTTATCGACTCGTTCTTAGTGTTCTTTTATTCGATCTCTGAGTGCATTATTTTCATTCTCCATTTCTTACATCCTCCTTAGAACATCGGCGATGGCGATGTCACCTGTATTGTTAGTAACATTGTGAGTTATACCTGGTGTTAGAGGGTCCGGTTGGTCGCCATGTTCGTCTGCTCGTTGCACTATGTAGGTTCTTGCAGTCTCTGTGGTCCTGCATGGAGTGGGCTTGTTGAGAATGCTCACTAGCGTATCGGTCAACCATACTTCGAGGAGCTTTTTACGGCCCGTGGCATCCCTTCTTCTATGGACGTGGAGGCCCCTTTTCCATTTGGTTTTATTATGCTACAATGGGAGGAGGCGACCTCTCGCTCCTTTGGGACGCAGTGGGCGTCACGTCCTCGCCTAATATTTCACAGCTCTCGTTGATAGCGTTCATAAGGTTGCTAGGGAAATAACTTGTTATTTTAGTCCTCTCTCCTTGGTTACCTGCCATGTAGGTTTTCGTACGTGCAAAGAAAGAGAAAGATCTTGGGGTTTGTGAGGTTAGTGACTCACGTTAGCTATATATCTAAAGGAAACCAAAAGAATTAACTAAGAAGTCCCCACAGACGGTGCCAAACTATTTGACCAAAAATATAGATTTTGGTCCAACCAATTAGATTTAAATAAAGAAGACCTAATCTTAGTTAATAATAATATGCTAATGACAAAGCTATCGGTGTTATGACAAATAACTTGGACATTTGTCTGGATAGCAATGAATATAAGCAATAATAACAGTATTCAATGATCCAAAAAGATGAAATATGACATTAAATAGTAATAAATAGCAATAAGTGTTATTTAAGTAAATAAAATGTGTGAGTCACCCGAAAAGGGATGAGATCAGTGGATATTCTCTCTGATAATGATGAATGATTGATAAGCCTTTGAACACTTAGGTTGTTTTGGATCCAAAGGAAATGCTAGACAAGAATCTTAGTAAAAAGGTTGTTTTTGTATGCTTGTAATAGGACCAGATTCTCTCTATAACGTCAATGTATTTTTTTACAAATGAATATATCATGTCCCCTATCATTGTGTCTCTTTCTATTTATAGGGAACATATTCCTAACCCTAATAGTATAGGTGCAGAGAATATCTACTAGAATATTCTCTTTAGTTTCCTATCTTAAAAGTAGTCGTTATAACTCTGTCAAGGATGTTCGACCTCGATCTTGATCTTTGACGACTCCTCGACCTTAATCCTTGTTGAGTCTTCGACCGCAACCTTCATTATTTCTAGAACCACTTCGACTTTGGGCAAGTCTTTACGAGTCGCATTGGCAACACACGACGACCTGTGAATGTCTCATTAATGCTAACATGACTTAATCATATTAGAGATAATTTTTTACCCATACAGATAGTGAATTCAAATCTCTGCTTTAGAGACCATGTTTTAGAGAATAATCACCCTTTTAGTACAATATCTCAAAATTTAAAAGGCATAAACAACTTTTAGTACAAAATAACTTTACCAACTTGGTCTAGAAAGATCATAAAATGACTTTGATAATGAGTTTTGAGCCTTTCAGTTAGCTAGTAAACCTTTTTCTTAAATAACTGAGAAATCAGTTTTCTTCAACTTCGAAAACTCAGTGAATAATGTATTTTGGTTAGCTAACAAACATCCGGTCAGTCGGACAGGTCTTTTTTTTTTTTTTTTTTTTTTTTTTTTTTGTGAAAAGGAAACAATTAATAAAGGAAAAACTAGTCTATATTATTGATCTTACATCTTCAAACATTTTTATCTTTGACACAAGAAGCTTCTTTAACAGAATGCAAAGTGCTAGGCTTTTTTCCCCTTTCAAACAAAACATGTTGTTTAACTACCTCCCCAGTCACACGTCACATACAGAGTAAATTGAAAGAACCACTGACTGTCCAAACAGATAATATGCTTAATCATCTAATGGCACACTTAACCTAATTAAGATCTTTGCATTTCAAGTGTAAAAGAAATAATGGGTCGATCTTCATTGGTAAGAAATGAGTCAATGACTCCACGACACTACAAACTTGATCTAACAACTTTCTCTCTTTACACTCTAGCCTTACCACATACCCAAGTTAACGCAAGTGTTTTGGAACCTAAAATCAAGTTGAACAAAAATTTTGAAGTCTACAATATTCCTCATTAAATTGAGGATACCACAACAACACCTCAACATCAACAACAATAACAACATCATGGTAATGCATAAGCTATATAAATCCTCTATATCCATCTCTCTCCTGTTTAATTCCAATACTCAATAGTTTATGACAAACTAAGGGTTATCTAACACTAACATTCTCTACATTACTTACTGGCACACAAGTACCTAAACAAACATCTCCGGACACATTCTAGAGCCCAACTATATGTACTGGGCAGATGCACAATATAACTTATAAGTTCAGTCGAACTCAATAACTTTGGTTCAATCCCTATATATGCAGCAAGAAATACTAAACGTGTAAAATATTAAAATTTGAACCCAATAACTCAAATGGTGAATGGGTGTCTGTTGTCGCCCATTCGTTGCATCTGAGGGGCTTTGGTTGTCTGTTGTCGCCTTCAGGCATTCCCCATGGACTCTCTCACTATCTTCCTTCTCTACTGTCTCAAGTTACTTTATTTCAGTTTCTTTCCCTTTTGGAATAGTTTGAGAAATGATTTAGGAGGAATTTTCGCGCCGGTTTCAATATAAATATTAGTAGTACTAGTATTTATGTAGGAAATGTCAATTTATCTTTATAATATTAGAGATTGCTCGATTTGATCTCATTATATTTTTAATTCATTCATACTTTTGCTCTTGATATAAATAAAACTCTATGAAATGGGCAGATTCCATATGTCTAAATTTTTTATGGAAAAAAGGTTCAAATTTACTCATCAACTTATGATTATGATTTAAAATTACTCTTAACTTTTGAGAAAAAGATGCATGAAAGATTTCAAAAAAAAACATATATACGTTATTTTATGAGCTTAACTTCAAGCGAAAATCATTTGGACAAACATTGTAGTAGTTTAATAGGTAATAGCTTCAACTAAATTGTCCTAAATGAAAAGACATTAACTTTAAGGGGTTCTCTATGTATTTGGCCGAGTATTATTCATGTACCCATGATAACTATGAGGTATCAAAAAAAAGAACTTGAGAAATGTTCATCTCAAGCAAATGAAAAAAGAAGGAGAAATAACCTAAATAACTGACTACTCAATCGCTTAAATAAAAAATAGACAACGATTATACAATATTTGTATAATTATGGATAATTAGTGTATAATCTATGTGCCAGCAAAAAAAAAGTAAACAGTGAAGTGAATTCGACTACTTGTTCCAAAAAAATAAGCAAGAGAAACCACAATTCTAATATATTTTGATATAGTCAAGCAAAAGCAGACAAAAAAGTCTGCCAAATGCTCTCAAGTTCAAAGACTAGAAGCACTAGACACACAGGAGGTGAACCCTAATTGCACAGGATCAAGACCTGTATTGAAAAAGGAAATAAAAAAAAAAGACCAACTGATATATTCTATATTCTAGAATCTATATAGTCTTTATATTTTCTAATTCTCTTTGGAATTTCCACTGGAAGTCAGTTCACGAACCTCTACTTAACCTATCTAAACTTTGTAGAAAAAGCTTTAAATTAGACGCCTTGGTTGATTTGTACAAACAATACAACCAAAGGATGAAGGTGCGCTCTTGACTTCCGCTTAACTTATTTCATGCCGTCCTCTCTATTTCACCTTGTCCATACACAGCTGCAACCAAAAAAGTGAAAAAATTAAAATAATAATTTAATTTTTGTACACTAATAACGTAAGGAAATTTTTAAGTTATCGGCATAATTTTAATTTGTGGTACCTTGTTGCATGAATAATTTCCCAATTTACTAATTTCAAACAGTGTGGACAATTAACCGCAATATCTTTTAGTTGACGAAATTCTTTTCTACTCTCTGTGCATAAGAAATAAAGAGTGTCAAGAACAACTTCCTCTTTTTATAATTGAGAAATCTCCGAGAGCTAGTAGCACATGGTTCTAATTAGAAGGATAACGGGCTCGCCTCTTAATGTGGTAGGGCTCGAATCCGTGACATGCACCTCAGCCGTATATCATGTGCTGCACTCTTACTCCTAGACCAAAGCATCAGTGTACACGGTCCCTTATCATTAAAACTCATAGACCCTCCATAAAATAGGTTCTTCCCATTTCAAATCTTCCTTTTAAATACCTCATTCAATTCAAATATATATTTATGTTCCATAGAAAATATATATTTATGCTCATATTTAAAAGCCAAAGAAATACTTACATCTTAAGAAGGTGTACTCTCGGATAAAAGAGCAGCTTTGATCCTATCCACAGTGCAAGCAATGAGATTGTTCACAGTAGCAACTGATCCTAGTGAAAGCTTTGCAGTAGGAATTGAATCAACCAAAATCTGAAATGCAACAGTTAGTAGAGATCCACCAGAACCAACTCTACTATTTCCTGGAGGGCCATCTGGTAGTATCGCGAATCCGGAGGGTAAAAGTGCAACAAAATCTGGATCTCCACCACCCAATACTATGTTCATTGCACCAATATCAACAGGTGCATAGATAACATAGGAGTTTGTTGGATCAGTGCTGCTTTCTTGCAATATTAGCATATTGCTTTGGCTTGAGTTTGAACTCTGTAATTTACAAATGAAAGATTGGATTAGTATCTTAATTCAACAACGACAACAACAAACCTAGTGTAATCCCACAAGTGTGATCTTAGGAGGGTAGTGTGTATGTTGTCTTACTCATACCTTGCGAAGGTACAAAGACTGTTTCTGATAGAACCTCGGCTCAAGCAAAGCACAGTCATTAGTATCTTAATTCATCCCTCTAATTTAGTTAAACTTGTTAAGAATATGATTAATTAATCAAAATTGTGATTTTTCTAAAAACTTATACTTTTAGAGAAGGTAATCAGTTCAACATGGTAATAGAGTAAGCAGAGATCCAGTACACTACCAAAAAAGAGTTTTCGCATGCATGGCTCACAAAAAAAATCAGATTCACATGTGATGTGTCCTGTATAATTAATTAAATAAAAGTGTATCATCTAGCAATTTAGACTTTTAGATGGGATGATTACACAATTCCATGGAACTTTATGAATATTGAGGTAAGAAAGTAAAAGTGAAGATTATAATTGACTTACATTTACTCTCAATAATGAGACACAATTGCCTGTTTCCCTTCCATTAGCAATATGAGCCATTTCTTGAACAACACCCCCATTGGAGAGGATGTCCCACTATAACCAGAGGAGAGTAACAGTGTCAGTGTTATGAAAATTTTATACTGTCAATGGATATAAGTTAAACTCCTGCATAAAACTAGAGTCAGTGTAATGAATCTTTTATACTGTCGTGGATATAAGTTAAACTACTGCATAAAACTAGAGTTAGTGCAATGAATCTTTTATATTGTCAGTGGATATAAGTTAAAACTCTTGTATAAAACTAGATTTTAAGAGTCTTCGACGATGTGATACCTCGCTCCTAGTGTTTTCATCGCGGAGGAAGTCGAATACTCTTTTAGGAGAAATCGGCAGCCAAAATGAAGTTGCAGCACTTAACACAATACCAGGTGGTCTCCCAGGATCATCTACACTTTTCCTAGTCATAACTCGAACATTATCATCGGAGCCACTTCCAGAAAGCGTCGACCATTGATTACCAGCCGTGGCACTCATTCCAGAACAAAAGCTATTCACCATTCTCTCTGCTAACTTCAACATACTCTTTCTGCTATCTTGATTTGTCAACACTGCATAAGAAATACTAATTGAGGAGAATATATATTACTAACTTGTGACATCTAACAGTTATATTAATGTATTTACCCATGTTACTAAGGTCATTGGTTGGAAAATTTGTGGCCATAGCACTTGCAAGACGTTCACATTGCCTATCTAGAGTTGCAGTCCATCGCTTTGCCCCAAAGGCAAGGCCAGAACTCACTAAAGGCTTGTAAATATTGTGGACTGCACTATCGTCAACTTCAATATGTTCAACCCATGTGACCTAGTGCAAAAATCACATTAATTAATAGGAATTGTTAGCATATTACGGAAAAGTTTAAGTTCTATACATTGATAAAAGATTTTACACGATCATGTCACTTAAAAAGTAAGAACATGTACTTAGTAATCTTGAAAATAAGACAAGTAACTTGTTACAATATGTTAAATTATATTGTCACTGTATATAAGTTTAATCTATTTGTATCGCAATGTAGTTGGATGATTCTTGATAAGTATTTTTACCTTTGAGTACCCATTTGGCATCTCTTGAATAAGGCACCCTGAGGGCCTTCTCCGGCACCTAGCAGATGGGATAGCGCGTAAATGGTCCAATGAAACGTCGACAACAGCCCATGTACCGTCAACTCTGTGCTTGCAATACCTAGCAAAGTAGCATTCTCGAGTTGGAACCTGGGGAGAGGGTACTTGAAATTCTGCTAATATCTGCAAAATTCACAAGAGTTTAACTTTTATAGTAAAAGAATTTTTTCAACAATCAGGGACACACATAGGTATAGTAATTGGACTAATTGATTAATTAAGGAGAATGCTATTTATTACCACTTGCAATGCTCCAGTAAAATTACCTGCTACTCCAGTTGATAGTACATCAATAGTTGAAGCCCTCGACACAACACCAGAAAACATACTTGACCAGTGATTCTGGAAATCACAAGACAAACTAAGACTTATTAATACGTTATTCCCATATCGACATATTGGAAAATAAGAACAACAACAACAAACCCAGTGAAATCCCACAAGTGGGGCCTGGATATTGGAAAACAAGACTATATCGAAAACATTATTTCTAATTAGTGATCGTAAGACAACTACTTAGAGCAGCAATATATCTTTATATTTGTGACCTTGTTATAACTAATTTATTTTGAATCCAAATTGCCAATTATAATCTTATTAGTTGACCTTTTGGTGAATAAAGTTAAAAAAGTATGTTATCTAAAACAGCAACAAGCTAAGCACACTACAAGAGGTCCTAGGACTAGGAATTATAGTTTATGGGTAAAGCTAATTAACATATTCTTTTACACTAATATTTATTTGCAAATTCAATATCATGGACACTCAATTCTAGCTCCTTGGGTAAAATGTTATTAAGAGTTTAAGTTCTATGCACCGACAATATTTAAGTTTTTATGCCATCAAGTAAAATTGATCTACAACATAGGTAACTTTTCATATCAATCCTGATATGATAACCTGGAAAAAAAGTGACAACGTGCTACAACCAGTTAAATTATATTGATAATATAAAAAATTATTTTAAATGTTAGTGCATATAACTTAAATCCAAACGTGAAACAAAAACCAAATAAAAACGTACCACATCCATGAGAATTTCCACAAGGTTAACATGATTCATTATAACAACAGCAGTTTCCCTTGAAGCTTCAGTCTTAAATCCATCAGGCTTAGGTCCAATTCCTCTTGGAAAAATCCTAAAATACTCTTCTTCATTTAACAAGCTTGTTCCATTTTCAATGCTAGGAAACCAAAGTGGTTCTTGCATATGTGCCATTTGAATAAACTCTTCCATGGCTGCAACTGCAAGTTCTATGATAAATGGCTTCTCAGCGTCACTCGGTCCGATTATTGAACTTATTATAACATCTTCGCCATCTCCATACGCGTCTCCATTGACACTTTGTGGCGTTGAAAATGCAGGAACGCCGAGGTCAAGCGGAGGAGAGTAACCATTGTTATGGTTTGAAAATGGCTTCCCCACATATTTTGATGCAATAGTTGAAATGCGCTCAATCTATAGAAAGAGGGTGGGGATGGTAGGGGAAATAAAGTAAAATTACATTAGAGACCACCAAGTGACAAAAGGATTGCATCGATAATATAAAAGAATTTTCACATGACTATCAATGTACTTTAATGTAGCAGATTAAAGGCATTATTTTTTAAGTTACTAATTTCACAACAATTACCTACGATTATTTTTTAGATGACCCAATAGCATACAAATATATTTACAATGTCGGTGTATAGAATAGAATTAAAACTTGTGGAAAAAGGGTTTAATTTTACACATTGACATATTAAAATTTATTTGAAATATCATGTCATCTTAAAGGCAAGCATAGATGAGTATACATAACTAATAGAAATAATTACCTGAACTTTAAGGAAAATAAACTTCTTCTAAAGAAGGTTAAATTGCACCAATTTGGTAAAAAATTATTTATAATACAAGTGCATGCATATAAGGTAAATCTTTGGCAAATAGCTAGGACTATACATTAAATCAATATGGTTACTTTTTAACAGAGGTCTCGAGCTCGAGCCCTATATATGCAGTCGTATTTGGTAGGGAGCGTTTTATCCAAAACGTAAAAACTTTTAAAAAAATATGTTTAGTTGTTACCTCTTCTCTAAGTCGAGTGTTTTCCAATCTTAATTGATGTTCATCATATGACATTTCGCCAATAGGGGGTTGTTGGCCACCACAATTAGGGCAGGAGACATTGCCCAGAGCTTCTCTGAATCGCAGATTTTCTGCCCTAAGCTTTTCATTTTCTGCTCGAAGGTGTGAGTTTTCACCGCGCTCATTTTTAGTCTGTCAAGGAAGAATTTGCATCCACATGAAATAAAAGTTAAAAATTAAGGACTCCAATTTGCTAACTAATGCTATGTGTGAATATGTTTGCTAACTACATCACATTAAGATTTCAAAGAAGAATTAAAATTAGTGTAAAGACATGACTTTGGATACATTCTTAAGTTAAATAGCAAAGGCAAGAAAATGACTCCCTTAGACATGTTTGACACATTTTCTATAATTAATACTCCCATTTCACTTGATGTAATGGTGTTCAATCAGGTACAAAGTGTTAAAAAGAAAAGAGAACTTTAAAAACTTAGTTTGTGATTTTAACCATCTTGTGATAATTTTTGTAGCTATAAAATCATGTACTAAGAGTAAAATGTGAAGTTCAACGCTAAAATATTTAAAATTTGGCCTCTTAAAATAAGTTAAAATATTTCAATTATAAACATGTGCGTTTTTAAAAATAGACTATAAGAAAAAGTATCACATAAAATAGAATAGAATATATTGAGCATTTGAAACTACATGTCAAAATTCATAGTATAACAAGGAAAATGCCGACTTCCTTTTATATAAGAGCTGAGTAAGATGAACTGTTTACATTTGATTTGGTTTTTTTTGCAAAATAAATATCATTTGTTTAACATGTCTCTCATGCTTTCTTTATTTGCTTTTCCTTGTGGAGTTATTAAAATAAAACAAATATTTTGTGGAGTCAATGAATTAAGTGCAATATATTATACCTTCATCTGAGTACGCTTATTTTGGAACCAAAATTTGATTTGCAAAGGCTCTAACCCTAATTCTCGGCTTAGCTCTTTCCTTTGCTTGTCATCTGGGTGAGGGCATTCCTTAAAATATCTGAACACCATAAAAAAAACCCAAATAAAATCGCATAAATATTAAAACATTATCCGTGGATTTTGTCAAACCAGAAATTCCATAAAGTCACGATTTTGCTTTTAGTTATATTTTATTATACTATCAGTGGATATAAGTTAAGTTTTTTATTTTATTTTTGTTGTTAATTTTCATGGATTCAGGCTTACGCTTCCAATTCTTGGATCTGATGCTGAGTATGGCGGTGATAACGCTTTCGCTTATTGAGGCTCTTATTATTGACATCTTGTTCATCACCAGCAGAATTGCCTTCATTACCAGATTTGCTTCCAAAATCTTCACTACTCAGTCTTGGCATTTCACTTTCTGATGTATTTGATAACATGTCCAGTGAATGGAGCTGACTGTCCAGCATGCTACTAGACTGTAACAAATCTTATTTATTATTTAAGCTAAAATTTTGATCGTAAAAATAATGAGAAAATGGTCATATAATAATGCTTTTGATTTTTTGTTAAGAAAGAAGTCAAGAACCCCTAGTACTATAAATAGACAGAAGACAGAGAAAGGGACATAAGTCTTTTCTTGAGTAAAATGGTCTATTTTTAATTAGTTTGGTTAGTAAATAAAAGCCAATGTTGAAAATGTCTGGAATACAGTAAACTATTGGTTGACCAATATTTATAC